AGCCGCCCTGAGTCCCCTCAGGGAAAAGGGCGGCATACAAATAAAGTTAAAATCAAAATCAAATCAAATCAAAGGTTTCACCCCTGGTCTGTAACCATATAAAATATTGTCATTCACTAGGACTGAGTACCTGAGGGAGATGGTTGTCCTTTTACTACGCCATTTTTAGTCTTTTCTTCAGAATTCATTACTTCCTTGTAGATTAATTCTGCAAGAGACAAAGGAGTTTGTTACGAAGATGTTGCATTACTTCCCCATATGAAAAGATGCTTTATTTTTTCCCCCACATTATTTAAAATCACTCATGAAAGTGAATAAAAATGTTCTAAATCAGGCAGGGTGGGCTTCAAAAATTTTAGCAAGGGGTTCTCTGCCCGGTTGCTGGGTGGGCGTGGCCATGGTGGGCGTGGCCTAGTCAGCCTCCTGCACCACGGGGGAGGGGGTGTTTGCCCTCCCCAGGCTCCGGAGGTTTTATTCCAAGCCTCCAGGAGGGTGAAAACGGCCTCCCCAGGCTCCAGAGGCCCTCTGGAGGCTGGCCTTCCCAAACTTTTAGTAGGACGTTTTTTTGCCCTCCCCAGCCTCCATGCGTGCCCTGCACTTACCCGTATCCAAAACAGACCGCGTGGGGACTCCTGGGAGGGGCGGGACAGGGTGGGCGGGGCAATCCAGGAGTGGGATCTGGGGCCTCTCTGAACTGCACAGTATCTTAGCTAGACCTTTTTCCGAACCTCTGAGAAGCCACAGCAGGCCACCCGTGAAACCAGGCCACAAAAATGGATAGCTATGTTTTTCCTAGCTATCATTTGTCCTACTCTTTCCCTTGAGTCAACTGCCTTGAAGAGCAGAGAAACCACAGGGAGTCCTCCTCTTACAACAGTTCATTTAATGACAAATGAAAGTTATAATGGCGCTGAAAAAAAAAGATTTATGACCATTTTTCACACTTATGACCGGTGCAATATCCCCATGGTCAGGGGATCAAAATTCAGATACTTGGCAACCACATCGTATTTATGACGGTTGCAGTGTCCTGGGGTCATGTGATCGCCTTTTGCGGGCTTCTAAGCAGCAAGCCAGATTCGTTTAACAGCCGCGTGACTAACTTTAAGAACTGAAGTGATTCATTTAACAACGGTGGCAAGAAAGGTCGTAAAATGTGGGCCAAAGTCGCTTAACATATGTCTTGCTTAGCAACAGAAATTTGGGGGTCAATTGTGGTCATAGGTTGAGGACTACCTGGACCTGTCTTCCAGCTTGCAAAACTTCACAATAGCAATAGCAGTTAGACTTATATACCGCTTCATAGGGCTTTCAGCCCTCTCTAAGCGGTTTATAGAGTCAGCATATTGCCCCCAACAAGGGTTAGGTTTAGGATTAGGTTTAGGGGGGTTAGGTTTAGGGTTAGGTTTAGGATTAGGTTTAGGGGGGTTAGGTCCTCATTTTACCCACCTCGGAAGGATGGAAGGCTGAGTCAACCCTGAGCCGGTGAGATTTGAACAGCCGAACTGCAGAACTGCAGTCAGCTGAAGGAGCCTGCAGTGCTGCATTTAACCACTGCGCCACCTCGGCTCTGATCCTTAGCCACTAACAATTTCTTGAAAAGTGCCTCTGATGAGCTTAAATCTAATTTTCTGGATCCTTGGCTTTGATTGTCACTCACTTAGACGGCTTGTTCATTAAATCTGTTAAAGAAATGCCTGCTATCTTGAGAAATACTATATTATATTTAATATTCATTATATTAATAAATCATATTACATATTAAGGCAAAAACCTCTATCACTACACCACCTGCTGAAATCAATGGGATGAGCAGGGGGACTGGACTTCAGCAGTAGCTAATGCATAGTATAATAATTATATCATAAATGGAGATATTCCGCGACTTACAACCATTATTGAGCCTGGAATTATAGTCATAAATTGTGTGGTAAGTGGGTTACCTGTGATTTGGTGACCTTTGTGTGACAGTCATTAAGCGAATACCATGATTATTACATGAGTGTCGCAGTCATTAAGCAAATGCAGTGGTCATTAAAATGAATCCATTTTATCCAATGAGTGTTTTTTTTACTGAATGCCAAAACCCGGCAAAATTGTGATCACGTGATTGTGGGATGCTGCAAACTTTTATAAATGAGAGCCAATTGCTAAGCACCCAAAATGTGATCATGTGACCACCACGATGGGGGCAGTGAGGCAACTGCTGGAACTCAGGAACAGCTTTGTAAGTACCTTTGGGGGGGGGGGGAGGTACTTGTAACTTCGACCGGTCTCTAAGCGAGGACTACCTGTATTGCATCTGAAAACAATTTAGGAATCAAGTGCAGGTTGCATAGTGAACACAATTCTGTCCTGCATTAACTATAGCAATGGCGGTGGTGTGGTTGGGTGGGTGGGGTAATAAGAAACTTGGTGTGAAGTCACTGCTGCCCGTGGCACGACAAAACCGCGCTTGACTAAGCCGCGCCCGATTAAACCGCGTCACTGACATCATCAACAGGGCGACAACAGCGAGCGTGGAGAAAGAAGGGCGTTTTAAATAGCGCTTTGAAAGCAAGCGGATTCAACTTAAGGTAAGGGTTAGGTTTAGGGTTAGGTTTAGGGTTAGGTTTAGGGTTAGG